CGTCTCAAAATGTCATAATAAGTTAATCAAATCAACTGATGTCAAAACATATCAAAATGTTTGAATTAAACTCCCAGGATAAACTGAAGCTGTGGTGTGTGTCATGCCATCATCCCGAGCTCTTCCCCTTACTAGCGGAAGTACCTGAAACCAAAAACTGAAACTATAAGCACAAAGCTTAGTGAGCTCCCTCAATCTACCACATACCATACAATAGCATAAAAAGCAACTACTGGGCCTTGCCCACTGTATCGGACCGAAGTCCGGAAACTGCATCGGACCGAAGTCCGGAACTAACCAGGGTCTTGCCCTCTGCATCGGACCGAAGTCCGGAAACTGACTGAACATAGTATAACGTAATCATAACTACTAGCATAAACACATATATTGCATACTGCATCGGACCGAAGTCCAGAACACATAACACAAGACATGCTTGAATCACAAAGACATCAAGCACACTGAACTACTGCATCGGACCGAAGTCCGGAACTACTGCTAACTAAACGGGCCGGTATTCTGGCCGTAGACCCGTTCCTACTGGAAGAAAACTCACCTCGTAACGCTGGCTGCTGGAGTGCTAAATCTGAAACTGTCTGACTGCTGCTTCGGAACTCCCCGGCTACAAATCCCATAAACACTAAATCAGATACTGATAACTAATCTCAGGGTAAAATGACTATTTTACCCTTGGTCAAAGTCAACTTCCGGGTCAAAGTCAACTGTCAGTTGACCTGACTCGCCGAGTTGGGCCGTCAACTCGCCGAGTCCCTATCCTTTCTTCTATTCCCCAACCCGACTCTACTCGTCGAGTTTAGCAAAGACTCGACGAGTTCTCCTTCTATAATAACATCGAGTCAACCTTCATCTGACTCGCTGCGTTCTATGAACAACTCGTTGAGTCCTCCTTCATTATATGAACACGTCCATTCTACGACTCGCCGAGTTGTATGAACAACTCGTCGAGTCTGTTCTTGAGGGTAAGAAGATTGCCTTGGACTCGCCGAGTGTGTTCTGACACTCGTCGAGTCCCATGATTTCCAGATTATGGCTAACTTCTTAAAACGTCGAAACACTCCCTGGGACCTTTCTAAACTTCTGCTAACACTCAACTAGGCTCCTTTGAACCACAACAGATTGGGGACTCAAGCCCCGGACTCGCCGAGTTCCATGAACAACTTGTCGAGTCGCCTATTGTTCAAGTTTATAACTCGATTTCTGATGTACAACTCTCGTCCAAAAGGTAGATCTGGGCTTCTAAGGTCGATCTAACACGTAAAGTTATGAACTTTACGTGCATGCATGGAAGAATAAGCTTTAAGGACTCAAAAAGAGGTCTAAAGAAGTGCATGGGCTAATATGGCCATAGAGCTTGCATCTTTATGCCATGAACTTGGTTCTAGAGCCTAGATCTGAAGGTGAATCGACTTGGGACGTCCAGGTCTTAAGGATCAAGCTTATTGACTCCAAACTCCATAAAGGGGCAAAGGAGAAAATCTATAAAACCACAAGTCAAGTTTTGAGCTTGATTACCTGAGAGTGAAGAGAAACTGATGTTGCTCCTGGATCTAGTCCTTCTCCCTTGATCCTTCTTCCTTCCAACTCTTCTACTAGATACACAAAGCACCAAAAAACCTCCAAGTTTCTAAGAAAGCTCAAGATTGCCATAAAGAAAATTAGGGTTTTGAAAGTAATGCTCTGGGAGTGATGGAGGCTGGACCTGAAGCTCATAATGTTGTTTAAATAGGGTGCAAACCCTTTAATTAGGGTTTCATCCAGACTGGCCTACTCGTCGAGTCCAAGCGCAGACTCGGCGAGTAGATTACTTAAACCCCGCGCCCCAACCTCGCATCTACTCGAAGAGTTAGGGCTCCCACTCGTCGAGTCACTAATACAATGGAATAAATGTAGATCAAATACGTACCAGAAACGGGGCGTTACATGGTACTTAAATTGATGTGTGTGGATATTAAGGAGAAGAGGCCGGTGGAAGCTTGGAGCAATAGGTAGGGATCCTGCGCAGGAAGGAGTTGTCCTTAGAAGGGACGCGGTAGTAGCACCTGAAGAGATTTGGGTTGGTTGGGAGATTGGAGGCTGCAAGGTAGGAGTATTATACGAAATTGTGTGTTGCAGCAGGCTTCGAGGACGAAGCCTAATTTAAGTGGGGGAGAGTTGTAACATCCCAAATTCAGTAATATAAGTTCGGGGTGCTATGTGTAAATAAAAGAGTAAACTCGACTAGTAGGTGTCTTAACTCGTCGAGTCGGAGCGGGTGTTAGGCACGTGTTAAGTGACCCGACTCGCCGAGTCGGCGGCTGGACTCGACGAGTCAGTGCTGGGAAGAGAAAACCCTAAATTTTAGGGTTTGCACCCTATTTAAAGGACCTTAAGTCCTTACCTCAGCCCCCTTATCACCCCTTGACGTCCAGAAGCAACCCTAAACGATCCAAACCCCCATTTTGAGTGTGTGAAGGAGAGGAAGTGTGTTGGAGGCAAGTGCAAGAACAAGGCTTGGAAGATTGATCATAGAGGAGCTGGTGGATTCGATTTCTCTACTCAGTGGAATCAGTTTGAAGGTAACAAGCTATTACCTTGACCTTGTTACGTTTAGATCTACTCATGGATGAAGTTTGGGGCCATTTTAGCATGTTTAGGATCCATTTCGGGTTTTGGATGTAGATCTGAGTTTGCAACTTCAGATCTAGACTTGTAATGGTCCATGAAGTGATAAATTATCAAACTTTGGCATGCTTATGAACATTCCTAGCCATGAACCTTATCCTTAGCTTGATTTGGGCCAATAGCACCTTGTATTCACGTAAAGTTTGCAACTTTACATAAGAATCATGACCTAGAAGGTTGGATCTACATTATGGAGCCTTTGCATGGTTCAAAAAGTGTCTGTATGGATAAAGGACTGTAGGGACTCGACGAGTCGCATGGTAGACTCAGCGAGTCACATGAACATAGGCATGAACTCGACGAGTTGGAAGAACAACTCGGCGAGTCCCATGAAGATTGCCGAAGACTCGGCGAGTCAGTAGGATGGCTCGGCGAGTCCGTTAGAGTTTTCCCAGTCATTAGATGCGCGTGGACTTGTCGAGTTGCAAGAGAGAAACTCGACGAGTGGCCATTGAGCTTTAGTTGCGAGCCGTAGGAACTCGACGAGTCACTTTGGTGAATCGGTGAGCAGACAAGTATTACGAGGAACTCGGAGAGTTGCTAAGGGTACTCGACGAGTTGAGGTCAACATGGACTGTTGACCTTGACTGATGACTCTGACTTTGACTAAGAGTCGACCAGTTTGACTGCCAAGGGTGTTCTGGTAATTGGGCACTTATAGAAATGGTTTCATCATAGTGCTAGGTGGTAGAGTTCGTGGCTGTGATCGGAGGAGTTGATCTTATCTCTTCAGTTCGGCAATTGCAAGGTGAGTTATCCTCACTATACTCAAGGGTCTAAGGCACCAAGAACAGCCCTTTGATTTGTTATTTGAGATAGTTACTATTGTGATATGATAGCTTGGTATCTTGGTAGATAGGATGGTTGCGTGTTAGTACGATTGGTTAGATCAGTATCCTGGTAGATCAGATGTGGTTATGATTAGTGACCTATAGTTGGGTCTGACTGTCTGTATGCTGGAAGGAGATTACCTGTTATATGTGCACATGCTTGTTATGGTAGTTGAGGGTATTCCATCCCGAGGATGATAGGGCCCTAGTATGTTGTCTGGTTGGCTGTTATATAATTATCTGATATAGGTGCACATGTTTATTTGATAGTAGGTAGGCAATCCAACCCGATGGTTGTGGGCCGAGAGTATTCCATCCCGAGGATGATTGACTCATAGTACATGGGCATTCCAACCCGATGGTTGTGGGCCGAGAGTATTCCATCCCGAGGATGATTGGACTCGTAGTATGCTGGCATTCCAACCCGATGGTTGAGGGCCTGGGGTATTCCATCCTGATGGATGATTGGATCCGTAGTAGTTATTGCATGTGTAGGAGTGTGGGCATTCCAACCCGATGGTTGTGGGCCGGGAGTATTCCATCCCGAGGATGATTGGGCTGGTAGTATGTTGGCATTCCAACCCGATGGTTGAGGGCCAGGGGTATTCCAACCCGATGGTTGACTGGACCAATAATATGCTGTTCATTTCTGTATATGTATGGTTGTATGTGTATGGGTATTTGGGGGTAACTCACTAAGCTTTCGGGCTTACAGTTTCAGTTTATTGTTTCAGGTACATCAGGAGATAGTGGCAAGGCAAAGACGTGATCGTACCGCTCCTCACTTTTATGATGTTGTTTTCGGGGATACTCTGATAATAAACTATTTGGAAACCTTTTGTAATAACTAATGGTACTTGGGTTGTTTTTGAATGTTTAAACTATTTTGAAATTTTTGGGTGCGACATTTAGATTTTAGTTGGAGAAAGGGAGAGAGAAGGACGTAGGAGTGAGTGAAGAAGATTATTCAGGTTGAAGTAAGATTTTGCAGGTCAAAAGGAAGAGGGGACGATTGCAAGGATGATTTTGGAGTTCTATTGCTCATGAGAGTTCTGGTGTTCGCCGGAGATCTTGGATTTTAGTGGAGCATATAGCCACATAGATTTTATGTTCTGAAATTATTCTTGATTTGCCGGTTATGTATGAGAGAGAGAAAAAGAGGGATTGAGAGAAAGTCAAATGCGAAGAGCAAAGAGGAAGAACGATAGGTTAGGGGCGTTCTTTTTCTTTTTAATTAAAAAATATTAAAGTAAAAATAAAGAAATAAAAAAAGAAACCGACAAAATTGACATTTTAACTCTCTCAGGACCAAAATCAAAATTCTTAATTTTGGACCGGTTGAAAACTTTTTAGACCTAATCCAAATTTTTGCCAAACCACAGGACCAACTTTGCATTTTTGCCATCTTTTTACAACCACAAGGAGCATATCTGTATTTTACTCTAGAAAATATAATACTATTTCTGTACAAGAAACATCAAACGAAAACCCCGACAAATCGACAATAATTCTGTCTCACCTCTCTCGCCGTCTCCTTTCCTTCCTCGTTGACTTGCCGTTTACCGGGCGATTTTTGCGCCGTTCACTCTGCAGTTTTCACTCGTCGTCCTTCCCGGTCGTCCACTATTCTCGCTGCATCAGTCTCTCTGTAGTTCTGTAGGCAGGTAATGTCAAGGCCCTTTCAGTTAGTTTCATATGTTGTTAGACAATTTTACTTTATTAATCGTAAATCGCATCATAATCATGTGTTTGTTCATTAACAGGGGATTGAAATTTCGATTATTTCTGTTACTTTTTTCGGTTTTGTATTTCAGTTAGGGTAGGTAGTACAGACTCCAAATGTGCTTCCTTAATTCATCTATATCTTCCAACCCACAAACACGATTCTCTACATATGATTCTTTTTGAACCTGAACAGTAAGCTAAACACTCATAATAATGAAGCTTTAATTTTGGTTTGTAATAATGCTAAATTGCGTGGTCAAACTTGCTGACTTACTGAGGCCGGATTGTAAGAAATGTAGGTTGTCGTAGAGTACTTTTAGGTGTCATATTCTATGAATCAGAAATTAGGAGTTTACTAGTGCAGAGTCTAGATCATAAATCAATCAATTTATGCGCCATTTTATTTGCAAATTAATATTGGATTTCTTTGTAAATTTAAGGGTTAATATCATGACCTTATATATTGGCTTTTATTCTGGATTAAACCTTAATTTTATTTATTTTTTCTTAAAAGAGTCCTTGCATTTTTCCATTTATTCTGAATAATCTTCCAGTTTTAGACAATTATTTTTTCCAGAAAAGCCCTCAAATATTTATTTTCTGAAAAGACCCTCATATTTTTACTATTTTTCCGAAAAAAACCCTCACCTTTTTTTTTAGAAAAGTTGTCAAATGTGAGGGTTTTTTCTTTGGAAAAAAATCCGAGGGGTTTTTTTAGAAAAAAAAAAGTTGAGGATTTTTCCGGAAACATTTGTCTAAACCGGAAGATTACCTGCTAAAAGGGCCAAATCGGGAAAAATGGAAAAGTCAAAGGTCGTTTTTAGAAAAAAAATAAAGTTGAGGTTTTTAATCAAAAAATAACCCAAATTATGTGGTCTTTGATATTAACCCTAAATTTAACACCTATAATGTTGGTCAAAGCGTATGTCACTTGAGTCACATTTGTAACATAATTGAGCCCTCATTGACATGCTCGTAGTTGCAAGCACGAAGGAAAAACTTGGCCTTGTTGAACACTCCTTGTTCTAGTTGTGCTTTTAGTTGTCTTACATGACACCAGGGAGAATATCTACTTTCAGATGCAATTACTTTTTGCTAGTTTCTCATCCCTTTGATAGTCTTTTCATGTGGATGTTGTAATTAAAAGTAGGGTTTAATTAAGTTGAAGTCATGTTTAAGGGGGAGTACATATTTTGTAATCATAAGCTTTGAAGAAGAAGATGCAACTCAAAATTGATGGTGATATCTATATTACTTGGGTATAAAGTGTTTACCCTTGAAGTTTCATGTGGATATTGTAGTTGTTTATGGAATGCTATTTGGTGTTGATTCATTTGAGGAGTGTTTAACTTAACTTTATGGAAATTGTTTAGACAATATTAGTGATGTTTGTGGTGGGTTAGTCGGATAAAAATAAAGTTTTTGTATGTTAATTAAATACATTGGTTCAATATGGTGATTCTATATGAATACATAGCTGTATATATGTTGGTTATTTCTGAAGCATATCACTTCACATGGAAAAGTCTGGAGGTGCATATGTAAATTTTTTTTAGGCATTTAAATTTTTTATTTAGAATGATTATAAGGTATTATTGTTGAGGTTATATTTTTTGAGACTTAAGTTGCATAAGGTATTAATAATTTGGATTTTTTGTAGACATTATGTATGGGATCTTGAGATTCAGGCGCTATTGAGGAAAGCGTTGGATCAAAAGCTTCAGAACACAATACTTACTTTCTTACATTCCAAGAGACACTAGACGTAACTCATAATGGTTGTTCTCTCTGAACTTTGTGAAGGACCTTCATCTTCTTCATCAACTCATGGTTATAGATATGACGTATTTTTAAGTTTCAGAGGTGTTGACACTCGTCATGGTTTCACTAATCACCTTTATAATGCCCTCATTCACGCCAATATCACTACCTTCTTGGATGATGAAGAGATTGAAACAGGGGAAGATCTGAAACCAGAATTAGAGAGTGCCATTAAAGCATCTAGGGCTTCTGTTATCGTGGTGTCCAAAAATTATGCCACTTCCACTTGGTGTCTTGATGAACTGGTGTTGATCCTTGAGCAACGTATGAAATCCAGTCATGTTGTAGTCCCCATCTTTTATCATGTTGAGCCCACCCATGTCAGGAAGCAACAAAGTAGCTTCGGAGATGCAATGGATGAACATAGACACAGGATGGAGGCAGAGACAAATGCAAATAAAAGAAGTAAATTGGCTCAAAAGATGGACAGGTGGAATAAAGCGCTTACAGAAGTTGCTGATTTAAAAGGGAAGGATGTTAAGGACAGGTAAACACTTTTTTACCCATATTTCCATACTCCTTTAATATTGTTTAATTAGCACATTCGAATTCAGCATAATCTTCTCCTTATGCATTTCAATATGCCTCTTCATGTTGATCAAATAGGCATATTTTTGATGCATTTAGATTTGAACAAAGATATGCTTGAAATTGAATCTAATTTTTTGCAATTATGTGATCTCACAAATTGAATCTAACTTTTGCTATTCAGTGACATTTGGTTCTTATTCATGCAAAACCACGGTGAATTTAAGTTCAATGGTTTTGTAGAAACAAAATACAATGAGCTTTGGTGGTCTGTCAATGAAATCTTGTATTACATTGGTGGCTCTGGTCTGTTAATGAAATCACAGTTAGAAGTGCAAATATGATAATAGTTATGATACGAAAAACTTAATTATATAATACATTAATATGATATAATTTTGATTTGGATCATTGGAAAAATTAAATCTCCAGTATGACATGTTAGTTATTTTGAGTATGTTTTGTTGTTCTTAATTACAAAAATCAAATTCCAGGCTAGAGGTGGAGTTTATTGATGAAATTGTCAAAGACATCTTCCGTAGATTACACATATCCTCGAGGTTTCCAGTACCACAACTTATTGGGATGGAAGATTCCATTAAATTCGTCACTTCATGGCTGAAAGATGCATCATCACATACAACAGATATACTCACTATTTTGGGTATGGGTGGGATGGGGAAGACGTCTTTAGCCAAATATGTCTATGCGTTACATTCTCATGAATTTGACACAAGCAGCTTCGTTGAAGGTATCAGTAGGAAATGTGATGAAAAATCTAATGGGATGCTTGATGTACAAAAACAACTTTGTGATGACATTTCAAAACCAAGTTCAGTTCAAGTTCTTGATGATTCCATATACACCTCAATGATAGAGACTGCAGTAGCCCGTAAGAAAGTGTTTCTGGTTCTAGATGATATTGGTACTCTTAATCAATTAGATGTGTTACTTGGAAGCAAAGGTTTTAATCTAGGAAGCAAAATCCTAATAACAACAAAGGACGCATGGTTGACAAAGAGCTGTACACAATTCAAAATGAACGTTAAACCCAATCATGCAACGTACGAGCTTAAAGTCTTAAATGAGATCGATTCACAAAAACTTTTGTGTTATCATGCATTTTTGTGCAACTATCCCATGCTAGGTTATGAAGAGGTGTCAAAAAAGCTTGTGAAGTATTGTAAAGGACATCCAATGGCTCTTAAAGTTTTGGGTAGGTCTCTACATAATCGAGATGTAACTTATTGGCAGGGGTACCTAGACAGGATAAAGAAAGAAAATGATTCCCCTGTAAATAATGTCTTGAGAATGAGCTTTGACTCGTCATCAGAAAATGACAAGGACTTGTTTAAGCATATTGCTTGTATTTTTGTTGGAATGGATAAAAATGATACTGTAACAATATTAGAGGCATGTGATATAGAAACAAAAACCGGTATAACGAATCTCATTGACAAATGCCTTCTTAGTATCGGATGGAATAATGAATTGATGATGCATGAGTTGGTTAAAGAAATGGGAAAATTTGTGGTACGAGAGGAATCACTTTTCAAGCCATGGGAACGAAGTCGAATATGGGGCCATGAGTCATTCAGAGTGTTGAAACAAAACAAGGTAAGATGTCATGTATACTTGTTTAAAGAATTTTGTATTTCTATATTTCGAAATATTTTTTCATACTTTTCTTCTTAGGGTACGGAAAATGTTCAAGGTCTCACCCTTGACATGAGAATGGTTGAGAAAGAGAAGTTACATGGATCACTTGAGTTGAAAACAGATGCACCGAGTAAGATGGATAGGCTAATGCTGTTACAACTCAATTATGTGCAAATAACCGGCTCTTACAAGAATTTTCCAAAAGAGTTAAGATGGTTGTGCATGCATGGGTTTCCTTTGAAGTCTTTACCTTCAGACTTATTGATGGAGAATCTTGTTGCTCTTGACATGTCTTATAGCAATATTGAATCATTTATTGGTTTTTATAGCTATCCACAACGACTTCATAAGAGGCTAAAGGTAGATTATCTCTATGTATTACTAGATCTTCTATGTCGAGTTGATAAAATTCATTATTATTGTAACTTATCTTTTTTTCAGCAATTGATTGGATCGTGTTCAAAAGACAAACGGTTGCTTGGATCGTTGAAGATTCTTAATTTAAGTTTTTGTGAACAACTTCGTAGTCTTGGTGGCTTTGACCACCTCCCTAAACTTGAGAGGTTAATACTTAGAGGGTGCATTGGTTTGCTTGATGTTTGTGAATCAATTGAGCAATGCTCTGAACTTGTCCACATTGATCTGAGCTATTGCAACAAGCTTGTAAAACTTCCAAGAAGCTTAGGCATGTTAAAGAAAGTTAAAACACTATTGCTAAACGGTTGTTATCTCGGTGAATCTCAAATCAAGATTAGGGACATGGATTCATCGGAATTGCTCAAGGCTAACAACATTGGCATAAACACAATAACGTCTTCCTCCACCGTTCTGGGTGTTATGCCAAGTTATTCAAAGTTCTTTGCAGTTTCTTTACCTAGATCTTTAGTAAGCTTGTCACTTGTGAATAATAATTTGTCCATCGAATCCTTTCCAATGGACTTTAATTGCCTATCCATGTTAAAGGCATTATATCTAGATGAAAATCCTATCGTTTCCCTCCCGAGTTGTGTGAGAAGCCTTCCTAGGCTTAAGGTACTTAGTATGGGGAATTGTAATATGCTTACGTCAATCGAGCATCCTCCGCACACACTAACATTTATGGACCTCTATTTTCATTCTAATAAGTCTTTGCTACGAAAAATTGTATTTGATCCACAAATGTCCCCACTCGAGTTCTTAATAGACCCGAATATATTTGGACCTTCATCGTTTGAATTTGAAGGCTTGGTGAAAATCCAACCAATGGCAGGTGTTGAGGAAAAGGTATTACGTAGTTTGGGTTGGATTAAGCTAGACTTCCTTAACGAAAGGCATGTACAGACAGATGTTTCTTGTACAGGATCAGAGGAATCTGAATTCCAGGTTTGCTCTCGTTAAATATATGTGTTTACGTGAATATCTATGTATATATAATTAATATGGTGATTAATGAAGGTGATTGTATATGGCAGATGTACTATGAATTTGGAATATTCAGCACAATTTATGGGGGGGAAGATATGCCGAATTGGATTACGGAGAGAAGCAATGGGCCATCAATATCATTTACCATTCCATCATCTCCTAACAACCTCACAGGATTGAATTTTTGTTGTGTGCTGGCATCTCCATTCCATCAATATCCGTTAAATAATTTACCAAAGATCATAATTAGCAATATAACAAAGACCCGCACCTGGATATACCACCACTACCTTGAAATGGTATTTCTCCGTAGAAATGGTTTGACGATGTTAAGCCATTGGATGTTTGGGATGAATGAGATGGAATGTGGCGACCATGTTACTGTTACTGTGAGGTGGGCACCACATGATTTTGGTGATGCAGTTATCATGGAGTGTGGGGTGAGTTTTGTGTATGATGATGGAAAAGAAGAAGATGCTTTAGATTATTACAAGTCATGGAATCACATCATTGGTGGAGATCTCATTGGATTTCAATCAACAACAGGAGAATACATCCTAAGCAAATGGCGAATTCTGCGCCCTTACATGGATATTGATATACTAAGATTTGATTATCTATGTGGAGATGGTGCCCGCTTTAAAGGTAGATATTTTTCTTAGGCACTGCTTTTTATCTAGAGCTGATAGCAACTAAATGTTAAAGTTTTGATGGTAAATAATTCATGTTTTGGTTTTCTGTAATCAATTTCAAATCTTTAATCTATTCCTTTTCATTTGAAGAGCGAGTGCAGTTCAGAGCTCTCTCTGAAAGAAAGTCTCTACTGGAGGATGACCCCTAAGGTACTTTTATATCCCGAAAATCCTTTTCCCATCCCATAATATAAGAACAAAAAAATCAACTGTCTTTTAGTTTTGTTTTTATGTTTTCAAAAGTTATCCAATACTGGATTGGTTGTATTTTGTTTTTACATATTTATCTCCTCCGCCAGAAAACACAGCCTATTCCACAACAGAGTTGATCATTTGACACATTTCTTTGGGTTAATAAACTGATCTTATTCTCAAAATTTACTAATAGATATTTATTTCATTAAAAGGAAAGAACAAGTTACATATGTACCTCTTGTATGAGTTATCCACCTCTCGTAGGTTGAATTTCTGCAAAAGTTCTTTTTAAAGCTTCCATATGTCTATATGCTCGACATGCTTAAAATATTGACGGAAACTTTAAAAGATACAAGAAAACAAAATGAACAAGAAGATGCCTTCTAATATATCCTACTATACGTATTGTAAATTCTGCAGGTTATAACAAGAATCGCCTACAGAGCAAAATTAACGAGGGTATGCAACTTTCATTAGAGGTCTCTTGAATTTATTTAAACCATATTCATCTACTTACAAACATGTCTATACAAATGTTTGACATGCTACCATATACAAAACTTCACATTCATGTGTACTACAAAATGAAGAATGTAAGAAGAGATTGCAAGGGAGGAAAATATACTTGTTCTCCATGTTTATAGCTCTGTCCAAAATGCTTCCGGCTTTTCTCTGTAGATAGGTTGCATGTATTTTCTGTTTTTTATTTAGTAAACCACCACAATCACCTTGGCCTAACCATAATCAACAACTTAGCATGTTTTGTTCCATCTCCTGCAGCTCTTAGTCTGCTGGTAAGTAAATGAATTAGGCTAACAATAAATTTTAGGCTAAATGCAAGAAATAGAAAATACTTTGATTCATCCGTGTATTATTGCATCCTACTTTCATGTCTTGCTGTCACAACGTTGTACTTTCAATTTTAATCTCATTAAGGCATTGTACTTGGAAAAATCTAACATGATTATAGCATTGTAATTTTATTCTTCTTAATTGGGTAGATTTTTCAAAGTATAGCAGTGAAAACTGAAATTTGTCTAATAGGAAGAAATGAAAGTTCTGTAACTTGGATGCCATTCTATACATTGAATTCTACCAATTATAGCACTGAAAACTGCTTCATATATTGGATGACATTGCTATAATTGGGTAGATTATTCAAAGTACAATGTTGTATCAGGAAGAAATTAATTAGAATCAATGTAAGTACATTGTTATTGTTGCATTTAAACCTAAAGTAAATAGCATGTATACGAAATTTGTTTCATGTTTGTGGTTTCTCTACTCCATTTTACATCTATCTGTATTTCTTTTAGATGGCTTTCAATCAACATTCAGCTGGAAATCAAGCTGCTGCTTTTCATTTTATTTTTTGTGGATAACTTTTGCTCTCATCCATAGTCACATGAAACGCGGAACACCGCTGGAACGAGGAACGAAAACGGGAACGAGGATAGGTATTTTTTTGTTTTCGGTACGAGGGGGGGTAGTTTCATTCGGAACGCGAATCGGGTACGCGGAACGTTGTACCAGTTACTCCGGTACGAAATACCATATATATAAAAAAAATACACTATGATTTAGTAATCAACATAAAAGTAAAAATGATATTAAATAACATATAATTATTCCAAATTCCATAAATCATAAGTCATAACTTCAAAAAAACATTGTTCTTTAACAGAAAAATAAAAAACTAGAACATAAAATGATATTAATTAACCCTTTGCTTTTTCCTGTTTCCACCCACATTAGCTTCATCTTCGTCTAAATTCTCCCATTGCATTTCCTCAAATCTTGTACTTGGCCCTTCTAAATATGCATTTTCCGGATTTTATATCCCATTTTTTGTGTGGTCCCGTTTTGTAACTTTCAGAAAAGCATGACTGTAGACGAATGTTTGAATGGATAAACACAAGTTTGTCAGCTCTTTTGGTATATAAGCGGTTTGTCTTCAAATTGTGTATGTAAGAGTAGGTGCTCCAGTTTCTTTCTGCCGACGAGCTACTAATTGGCTGTGACAAAACTTTCTTTGCAACATCAGCCAAATCTGGAGTTTCTGACCCGTAACTTGACCACCAATCGATCGCGTCCATGGTTACTGCATCCATTTGAGCTGCCGCCATTGAGTAGAGCCCCCTTCTTCATTTGAAATTTCGCAAACTGTTCACGCAACATGCGCTCATCTTATGGGCTTTCAGCTATTCTTTTAAAAGCTTCCATACAACCGAGTACCACTTCTTTGTCGAGATTAGGAGCTTTTCTGGGTATTCCACGTGGTGCTAACATGTTAACATAATGTGTATCATAAAATCGAGGCAATAAAGAAAATGCCAAGCAATGCAACAGAATCGTCATCTTCTCCCATCTCGATAACACAATTTTCTCCACTTGCGGGTAATAAGAAGCATATTTATTATCTAACATAACATCTTTAATTTCTCCCAACATATTATCCATTTTTTCGTATATTTCTCCAATTTTTGATCCCTCACCATCACAAAACTTTATCAATAAGAAAATTGGTTTTGTAATTGCTAAAATACTTTCAACATCTTCCCAGAACTCTTCACTTCTTATGGTGTCGGCTCCAGTAACTCTAGTGTTTTCATCTACATTTTTTACCCAATCTCTCCAAGAATTTAAGGCAATGGTTGTAGCAAGAGCCTCTCTACAATCCACTAACCTTTTCAATAAAATGTAATGGGACGCAAATCTTGTCTTGGCCACTTGTAACAATTCTAACTGTGAGTTGTCTCTAAAAATGGTCAAAGCTTGATTGTGGTTTAGGAAATAGTTAACAATCACTTTTCCTCTCCTATATGTGTTGAACAACCAATAAAACTCTTTGGCAAGGTCTTTAAAAATCAAGTTTAATGTATGAACACAGCAAGGAGAAGAGAAGATGTGCTTGTGTACCTTTTCAATTTCCCTTCCAACAGCTTCGCAATTCGCTGCATTATCTGTAATAACTTGAAGGACATTGTTTGGTCCTACTTTTTCAATAGCACCAAGCAAGTATTCTGCTTTCGCCACACCTGTTTTTTTGCCATACCAGAGAAATCCTCTGCATACATTAACATTGCCCCACGACTGTTCGCCGCAAGAACATTAATAAGAGGTTTGTGTTTCACATTTGTCCACCCATCGGATACAATGGAAACACCTTGGGAATACCATGTGTGCTTGATTGGAGTTAAATCTTTTTCAACATCTCTGAGGCATTCATCAAGCAAAACAGCCCTTGCTTTTTCACTTGATGGTGGTTTCTAACCATCTCGAGAAATTGCGGATTTCTCAAAACATTGAAACGAATGCCATTAGCACATAATCCTCTCATAATCTTCAGGTCCACCATGTTTCTTTCCATTTTTGCCAAATGATTCTTCAATGAGTTTCGTAGACAAAGAAGAAGATGCAGTGTTGTTATTGAATATAGAACTTTTCAAAGCACGAGAAACACCTACCTTTTCAGCAGCTTTCACTTTATTCATCAACCTTTGATACTTCTCCCATCAGTAGCACCAAAAAAGTGAACATAAATTTTGGTGTAAGAACTTGTAAACTTTTGCTTGCAATGCTTACATTCCCAAACCTTTGAACCCACTGCATTTTTGCTCTCTGCAGATTTAATTATGGTGACTTCTTGCATAAGTGGTTTGTCATCCTTCATTTCTTTACTCTAAAGTTCATTATTATCCTCTGCAACCGTGTCTTCTTCGATGTTATCTTCATTCTCAGACAGCACAATGTGGTCTGTTGTAGCCTCTGCATTGTTTTGAGCAGAAGTAGACCCCCTTTTACCAAAAGCCATTATTACAATAACAAAGTATTATGTTACTGTGAAGAGAGAATGAAGATAATTGTGTATTGGTGTTGTTGTGAAAGAGAAAGAGTGAATTGTGAAGTTCATCGTGGGTGTAATGTTGTATATATAAGTATAGGAATTCACACAATTATGATTTATGAAATCAATTAAATCAAAGGAAATCAATGTGAAATCATATAATTGATCCACCGATATCAATTAAATCAATTACAGAATGTGAGAATAGCTACTTAAATAAAAAACGTAATTAATTGAAAATCAATCGTATCGCATAGAGAGAAAAAAACGGTTAAATGCAATTACAGAATGTGAGAAAAGCAATTTGATGTTCCTGGTAACTATGCTCTCATCAATTCAGTCGATAAGAAAAACGTTAAATGCAAGAAATGGAAATGTATTTTCGTTTATTTTGTTTATTATAGCATCTTTATTTTAATATCTTCCTATTACAACATTTTTCTTTAAACAGTCTACCTAATTATAACATTGTCATCGAAATACAAAAGAATTTTTACTGCAATATTCAAGTAGATTTTTCAAATAGTGTTAGAAAAAAAACAGAAAGTAGAATGCTATAATTTGGTTAAAGCATTGGCTAATGGAAACATTGTCTATTCCATCAGGGCTCCAACAATTTCAAGATTAGTAAATTTTTTACACTTGTGTGTTTTTGTTTGAACGTATGTTGTCTTTCTTCTTGATGATGCTGTAAGTAGCAACCAATGTGAAAAGTGATCAGTATCATTGAGTGTATAAGCATGTTCTTGTGAAGTCAAACAATTCTTGCAATATGTAGGTTTCTCATTTAATTTCTTTGAGATAAACATCTTATTGTCTATAATAGATATGAATTAAGAACCTAATTGAATCTACGATTGCAATTTATTAGACATTTTAGACCACTAGTAGCCTTTAATGCAATCTTCTTTATTCTCATTTTGTCCAATTAATATACAATCGGCTTAGGAGAAAAGCCTCCTCTTCTTTGTTCCCTTTCTTCACAAATTCCAACTCAAGGGTAATTAAGTAAGGCAATGTTGAGATGTCCAGGCGTGACAAAGCTAATGAATTTCAGTGTTTTTTCATGGCAACATTCTCTTGAATTTCATTGTTTTTCAATGTTTTCTCAGAAATTCCAACTCAATGCTAATTAAGTCAATGTTGAAATCTTAAGGTGGGACCAAGCTAATGAATTTTGGAACGAAGAGCAATAGATGAACAAAGTTGATGGTTTGACCACTCGTGAGTGTGGCAAGGTTGTATGTAAGCTAGCACACAATGGGGAGTTGATGGTTATCTTCTTTAAGGTTGATGAATTGAAGACCACAAACTTGAATGGTTAAGAACTTTCTTGTCGATGCTGATTGTTGTTAAATATGATTAATTTTCAATAAATTTTTAGCGAGAAAAAATGTTCTTTCTATTTTATTTCGTTAATATAGTTTATTTTCCTAATATATATTATAATTTTTAATTAGATAGCATTGTGAAAATTTATAAATTACATGTATTTTGAGTTGGGGGTATTTTTGTCATTGTGTATGAATTTTATTCCATTCCTATGTCTATTCCTGCCTACCAAACAACATGTATTAATGATTCATTCCATTGTAATAGAGTAGGGATGAGAATTTGGCCCAGAAACCCAAATCAAACTGAAACCCGAACCGAACCGAATAAGCAATTCGATTCGTTTTTTGGGTATCAATATTACGCTTATTCGGTTCTTGGTTTATTCGGGTTACCCAAATAAGAGCTTATTCGGTTCTAAATACCCGACCCGGATAAGCATTCCTCGTCCCCTTTCTTTGATCGACATAAATCAAAATCATGATTCACATTTCTGTCCTTGTCCTCGTCATTTATAACAAGAAAAAAAACGTACGCCCGTTCTCGTTGTTTCAAAATCGACCAATCTTCTCAACTACTACCAAACTTGAAATCACTTTTGTCGATCCTTCCTTTTGTTTTAGACTTTCAAAAATCCACCCTTCATATTGTCTCTAAGGATTCACGAATTCTTACTTTGTCTAGTCAAAGAAAATTGGGCTCCAACTCTGAAGTAAGAAATTAAATCTCACTATGTTAATATACTATGTAAACACTATTCTTTCGATCTGCTATTTTATTATCTTAGTCTTTGAATGTTTTATGTTGATGTATAAAAGTACATTGTTATTCTATTATTCGGGTTATAGAATCCTAATACGGTTTATTTGTTTTTTTTCTGGTTATATTAGATCCTTTATCATCTTGTACATGTTATTTGGGTTCTTTGAGTAGTAATCGAACCGAATCGATTAATACCCAAACCGAACCAAACCCGTATTGGTTAATCGGTTCGGTTTTCGGTTCATACAATTACCTTTATTCGGTTTTCGGGTGATTTGGGTTCGGGTCGGTTCGGTCCGATTCCGACCCGATTAACATCCCTACAATAGAGTAACCAAACATGACAATGGAATGGTAATGATCCATTCTATTACCTCCTCCATTCCATAACCTCGTCTCTCCCATTCCCTTGTCATTCCATTCCTTCATATCAAACAGACCCTTTGAACTTTTGTGTTGTAGCGTAACAGAAGGTTGACATTGAATAGATTGTTCAATGACACATCCAAAGCCCTGCCAGAGTGGTATTTCCAAAAATGCT